ATACATGAAAGAACTCACACTGGGGAGAAACCATATGTATGTAAGCAATGTGGAAAAGCTTTCAGTACACAGAGTTATTGTAAAATACATGAAAGGACTCACACTGGTGAGAAACCCTATGTATGTAAGCAATGTGGGAAAGCTTTCATCAGGCACAGTGAACGTAAAACACATGAAAGAATTCACACTGGGGAGAAACCATATGTATGTGAGCATTGTGAGAAAGCCTTCAGCACAAAGTATTATTGTAAAATACACGAAAGAATTCACACTGGAGAGAAACCATACATATGTAAGTAATGTGGGAAAGCATTCAGCACATGCAGTTATTGTCAAATGCATGAAAGAATTCACATGGGGGAGAAACCCTATGTATCTTAGCAAAGTGGGAAAGCTGTCAAAATACATGAAGTCTCATTGGAAAGAAACTTTATATATCTAAACCTATTTTTAAAATCCTGTGAAAATTTCTAGATCTATAGAAATAATTAACATAAAATGTTTGATGTCAATATTCATAAGTTTTCCTGAAAATACAATTCCAGATGGAGATATCCTAAAGTACATAGTGTGTTTTTCAGTAACTTGCTTATAAATATCTGTATTGTATATCTGTATTGTTTAATATAAAAATGTTGAGTTGACATACTTATGTGTTTTTTGTGTCCTTGAGCTTAATACATAGGGTCTTTTAATTAAAAGTGGTGAATTGAAATGTGCTTTTTACTTGTGTATATGTAGTTTTTGCTTTGTCTTTAAAATTGGGAAGTATAAGTCCCCAAAAAACTTGAAAAAATTTCGTTAATTGTTGAGATTTTACCACTACATTTGTTCTAACTTTTTGGTGCATATACTTCACATTGTGTGTGACAAAAGATGTTTTTGAATTTGATGCTATATTTTATAGAAGGATATATTTTCAGAGACTTGTGAATATGTGTTTTTGACAAAGTTGAGTTTTTGCACAACTTGCAGATTAGCACATGTTTTTTATATCCTCCTAACTTATCATGTACATAATTTTGTATATTTTTTAAAATTTTGGATCCAGTAGCATTTACATGAAATTTTATTTTCTTATTATCATCAAATTTTACTTTTCATGTTTATATTGCTATGACTTAATTTGCTGGTAATTTTTCCACCACATGTACCAAAAACAATTACCATACCGCTATGAGTTTATGATTTCTACATAGCAGCAGGTTCTTAAATAGTCTCTAAAAGGATATCATGAATTATAGTAATCTCTCCAGAAAATATACATGATGGTGTGACATCAGTAAAAACACTTGAAGAAATTGTTGTCAACTGTGGAGTTGTTTTGGGGAGAATGATTGCTATTGAATTTAATGAAGGAACTGGATTTATTCTGTTCCCTGCTGCTGTGATATCATTCTAGCTTTGGTGATAATTGTTTTTACCTAATAAATTGAACTAATGGCATGAAGGAAAACCTAACTCATGAGAGTCATCAGTCAGTTCATTAAAAACTGAAATTTACTAATTATAATTCAGATTTTCTTCTGTTATACCAGGTCTTTTTTTGGGGTTTTTTGGTACCAGGGATCAAACTTGGGACCTTGCACTTGCAAAGCAGGTGGCAGAACCACTGAGCTAAATCCCCGGCCCTGTTATACCAGTTTTTGAGAGAAATTTATACAGTGCCATTTTTTATGGCTCATAAGGACCATCGTCTGATGTTTGAGGTATGTGATAATTGCCTTCAAACACACGTACTGGGCCAAGGAGTGTGCATGAGTCCCAGTTGGTCTCCTCTGGCTTGTGTTTTTTACAGTCATTTTAACCTTGAAATATTTTATAAAATGTATTACACAGTGTTCTTGAATACAAAAGCTGCTAAATTTCTGATGGGTTACATTGTTACAAACGTATGATATCATGAAAACGTAAGTGAGAAATGCATTAAATACCCATAATGCAGTAAACACTATAGCTTGCCCTAGCTGTAATTATGCTTAGACATATAAATTTCTTTCTAGTTGTGTAATACCATCCAAAATTACATCCATTGTATATCTGAACTATCCAGCATATGGAATATAGTACGCTGCCTAGTACAATGTCAGTTTTACACCCTGCAGCATATGACCAACTTCCCTACAGCCCACTTCTGCTTCTCACCATCGCCAGAGTGTGTATTGCTATTTGAGGTAGTGATGGAATATTGAAAATACAGACAATTTATCTTGAGCACATTTACTTTCCCATTATTTTACCTTGAAAAAAATCTTCCTGGCCCTTGTGATGTATGTTTGTAATCCCAGCAACTTAGGAGGCAGAGGTAGGAGGAAAACAAATGTAAGATGAGCCTATTCAGTGTTGTAAGAACTGTCTCAAAATATATGTGAAAGCTCTGCAGTGATAGTTCAGTGCTTTAGTACTCCTAGGTTTATTCCCTAGTATCTAAATTATGGTAATACAAACCACAACACATCTGTGTTTGTCCTTTTCTTACATAATGGACAAGATCTAAGCCAAATGCTATTCATTTAGGCCTAGCATCAGGAAAGGTAGAGAGAGGATGATCATGGCTTTCAATCCAGTGATGGGGGCAGGGGCAGCTTAGCTAGATGCCTTTACAGACTGTGAAACAGTTCTCTTTATATCTGCATTTTAAGTTAAGGAAAGAAACAAGTTTAGGTCAAGAAAGAACATAAACAGGGTAGGATCCAAGAAATCACTATTGCAAATCATGATTGTGTTGCTCAGGAAATATTCTTTCCATAGTAATATTTGTACAGCAGTCATATATATGCCTGCATCAAAAAACATAATGAAACATGAATAAATAGGCATTCCATGTTCTGAATATAGAGACAACAAAATTAGTTTTCTCAATACTCTTGATGGTATCTTTGGTAGAAAACAAAGTGGGATGACATAACAAAAAGGATTATATAAAATTTTAAAACTTCAGCACTAGGCTGGGGATTTAGCTCAGTGGTTCCACTGCCTGCCTTGCAAGTGCAAGGTCCCAAGTTTGATCCCCGGTACCAAGCAAAACAAAACAAAACAAAACTTTGGCACAGATATGGAAGCAAACAACAGAGTGAACAAATAACCTATAGGACAAGAAAAATTTTTGCCAGTTTCTCCCCAGAGAACTAATAGTTTGAAAAATCAGGCAAGTGGAATGAATACACATTTATCAGAATAAGTACAATAGCCAATAAATACCTGAAAAAATGTTCAGCATTTTTGCCCAATAAAGAAATGTAAATTGGAACAGCATTTTATTCCACAAAAAGACTTTTAAAAATGTTCATGAGGGTTCAGGGGGAAGAGGAACCATTCAACGTTGTTGATGGAGATGTAAAGTAGTTCAACCACTATGGAAGTCAGTGTAGAAAGTATTCCAAAAACTAAAAATAGTAACTCCATTCAAGTAACTCCATTCGTCTTGTATCTTCCCCAAGAGTTAAAGACATCATATTTTAGTGGTACATGTGTATTCTTATTTACAGTGGCAATACTCTTTCTGTTGGGCAGCAGCAATCAAATATCAAGGGCAAAGAAGTACTACTCTTCAATGTACTCTTTAATAAATTATATGCAATATTTTATATTATGAAATGGGCTATATGTTAGATTATTTTTCCTGGCTACAGGTCAACATAAACATGATAAGCATGTTAATGTACAAAGGGCATAGCTATAATGTTCAGTAGATTCAGTATATTAAATGCATATTCAATATATTTTATTTCAGCTTGGTTAATCAAATATGTCCATTTTGTACCTCAAGGAATATCTGTAACTACTTTGACTTTTTTCAGGTTGTGATGCACATAACACCAACCTCATTACATTCTCTCCTCAGTTCAGTGTTGTGTTAGCGTACTGCAGGGTTTTTTCCACTTTTCTAATGTTATGAAGGAATTTTTAGATTTCCTTGTATAATCAGAGGCTGAATACTCTTATAATGGATGCCTAAGGGCTTAAACCTGGGGAAGCCCTGACTGTTCAAATGAAGGTAGAAGATTAAGAACAAGAAGAAGCAATACTCCAACCATAGCCCAAAAGGAAAGGCTTTGAAGTTCCATAAGGAACCACTAAAAAATGTCTGTGTCCACAACTAGAGTCTAATGTTCTTGGATGATAACAGTACCAAACATCACACCTTTTTAAAGAAATTCAAGTATGCAGAAGCTTATCTTTTCCACTTTTTTTATTCCCTCAATGCCCAGTTCTCTTCAACACCTATTTTTCCCCAGGGGCATTTTTTTTTGTTTTTGTTTTTTGTTTTTTGGGTACTGGGGATCTAACTCGGGTCCTTGCGCTTGTGCAGCAGGCGGCAAAACCACTGAGCTAAATCTCCAGCTCACCTATTTTTCTCAATACAGTTGTTGCCCACTCAGATCAATGGCCCATGTACCAGTTTTTCTCTCTAGAAGGACACACACAGACACACATAAGTGTTATTTACCAGCATGTCTCAAGTCAAAATGATGACAAGATTAACAATCCAAAATGAAAACAATTTAATAAGTTTAAATGTTTATTAATATTTGTTTGCACCATATTTTTACATTTGTTGTCAAAAAGTGGCACATGTATACAGCACATCTGAACACTTTTTACTTCTTCCCATCCTCTTCTCCCCTTTCCATCCATTTCTTTCTTTCTTTTTTTTTTTTTTTTTTTGTACTGGGAATCGAACTTGGGACCTTGTGCTTTCAAGGCAGGCAGCTCAACCACTGAGCTAAATCCCTGGCCCTCCATCCATTTCTTTATCCTTGTTATGGCTTGTGTCTAGATGTCTCCCCAAAGCCTAATGTAGTCATAGGTGGGGTACTTTCAGAGGTGGCTGGATCTAGAGTGTGCATGATTCATGGTGAAGTGTTAAGCTCAAGGAAACTAGGATTAAGGGCATGAGTGCTGACCACACTAAGTAGTTTGGATAAGATATAAGGGGCAGAAAGACACTGTTATGGTTCCTCCCTTGCTTTTGCTGTCTTCTGCTTGCCATAAACTGGTTTTCTTCTGTGATGCCCCTTTGCCAAGCCACCCTGGCTTGGGGCCAGTCAATTGTGGACTTAAACCTCTACAACCTGTAAGCTAAATAAGCCCTGCCTCCTTTAACTTTGGGTGTTGGGTATTTTGTCTCAGCAATGAAAGAAAAGAAAGACCACCCTGTTCCCATTTGTAAAATATTTCTCTAATTTTCCAATTACTGATCTTTTATTTTTTCTTATAAAAGTTAAACAGAATACACCCAAAAGTAAAGTAAGTCATCTGTAGATCGCAGCATCTTGAACATGCAAGTGTATAAAGATTTTAGCATCTTTCCTTTGTTTCTAAAGAAAATCCGCAGAATAGGATTCCAAAAAATAGAATCCCAAATGATGGGCATGAGACCACATTGTGACCCCAGAAATGGAGAGGCACAAGTATGCAGCACAAGCATGTGGTGATCACTAGTGTATGAGTTCAATACATGAAATCTAATGCACCAGATTCACTTACCAAAAACTTTGAGGCAGAGCTGCATGGGTTTTGGGTCACAAGCTTTGACCCTATATGTCCAACAGTTGGGCTGTGGCAGTAGCTAAGATAATCATAGCCCCTCTTTATCCACATAATATTTCTGCCATTTTAGCAGGTTCTAATAATATTAAAATTTTTGAAATGAAAATTGACAAGGTTCAAATCATAGGCAATTCTCAGCAACATACTTAAATTTCATGCCACTATGACCTATCATTTATCCCAATTAATCTCATCACATAGCTGTTGTGTTAAGTCATGTCTTGACAAGAGGGTGAGCACAATGACAGGCAACATTCAGAGAAAGATATCACATTCACATGGCCCTGATTACACCATGTTTCATTGTAACCTGTCTTAGTTACTTTCTTTGTTGCTGAGACAAAATACCTGACTCCCCAAGTTAAAGGAGGAAAGGCTTATTTATCTCACAGTTTGTAGATGTTTCAGTCCATAATCAGCTGGCTCCAATGCAGAGTGGCACAGCAGACAGGCATCTCAGAGGAAAAACAGTTCATGGTGGGCATGCACCTGTGCTAAATGACAGAGTTGTGTCCTCAGGTGCCCTCAAGCACCTTCAAATGCCTGGGCTTTGACACATCTGCTAGGAGACCCCTACACCCCACCCTTTCAAAGATCGGGTACTACCACTTCTTGTGACCAGCACACAAGGCTTCCCTTTGTGCCCAGAGCCCACAAAAACAATACAGGGTACAACACATAACCACCAACCCCATTGCTATTGCAGCACCACCGAGAGCCACCCAGCACCAAGTGGATCCTAGGGATTCCCACCATTGGTTCAGGTGGTCTTGCTGCAAAGCCTAGATGGTGGACACCTCTTTGTCCACCTCTTGTAAGGCCTCTAATTTCTGTTCCTGGTGGTCAGGAATAGAAACACAGCGTTCTACGTGTAAGACAGCACAATTGTCTCCCTGGGCTGCAGTCAACAAATCCAGACCAATATGGTTTTATAACACCACCTTTCTCATCTGGTACATTTCATCCACGAGCAACATAGAGACTGGGACATAATATTGAGGGCCTGTGCCATGTTTTGAGCTAGAGCTTCAACTTGGAGGGCTAGGTCTATAGTCCCTGCCCCTGGCACCAGTACTGCCATAGGATAAAACCATTAGGCCAAATTGTTTGCAAAGAAAAGCATATGTTCAGCAATGTATTACTGTATTTTTAAATAATCGAGATAAACACTATCAAAACAGATGTTTTATACAACAACCCAGTCCAGATGTTTCCTAGAACATGCACGGTATGAGAAACTTAATCATCCATGCCTGTCATTGCACCAAATGTATGCACTTTCCTGTAGTCAGTGCAAAAAAAAAAAAAAAAAAAAAAAGAACCACCACAACAAAACCAACCAAACTGTTAGCAGCTATGTTCTGGCTTAAGGCCTTAATACATTTGTCTTATTTTATTCCATCACCATAGTGAATGTTAAGACAATAATTATTAAATAGGTGAAGAAAGAGAGCATAATGCACAAAAAGTTGTTTATTAACATAGAATTATTAAGAAACACTGACTGGCCTCTTAGGCTTGTGTTCTCATTTTTCACCTGTTGGCAAATGAACAAATCAAAGGAGTCTATGTATTTGATTAAGAATGAAAAAGGTAGTGCTACCATGACCAGCTGAAAAATAGGACATTAAAATATTTTTTCTCTTCTAATTATTTGAGAGATTGAGGCAAACGGATTAAAGGGCAGCACTTTCCATCCTGTAAAGGAAATCACCTCTAGAAGCACAAAGTGGCTCAGAGGAATTTTGCCTGTTATTTACCTAATCACCTAGGCAAACATACTTAGCAGCAAGACAAGTCTACACTTTAAGGTTTAATCTAAAACTTCTGTGTCTGTAAAACTTCACAGGTTAAACTTATATTCATCAACTAGCAGCCACATTCACATTTTAGTAAAGGCACCTTTACCAGTTTCCTGTACACATGTGAAAGAAAAAGGCTGACTAAAATCTTTTTATTCTTGTTAGCATATAAAGATACAAGTGTAAGTTGCTAGCTGATTGCTAATTTTTTTCCATGAAAAGTTTTTGTAAACTGCCTCTGCCTGGCTTCCTGAAGGAAGGGGCAGTCCAACTACAAGGTGGTTCTAAAGTTAACTCCCAACGAATTGGAGAAATAAAAGCCTAAGCCCCCTAAAAAAACCCAACATCATTACATAGCATTTTAAAAGTTTACAGTAAATGTTTTAAAATCTGCAACTTATCAGCGAAGGTATTTTCCTTCCCTACACACATAAATGATGAAAACCAGACTTAGAAGGGGGGGTGGGAGAGAGAGAGGGAGAGGAGGAGAGAGAGGGAGAGGGAGAGGGAGAGGGGGGTTCCCTTTAAACTTATTAGAGATCCTTCCTTTCTCTAATTTTACATGCTTCTATAAGGAAAGTGTAAAGTAGCAGAGAAAGATCAGAAATAAGACCAGGAAAGGAGATCTTTTCTTCTCATGCTCACGGTGGGTTATCGAAGACAACTTGCTTCTAAGTCATCAGTCTCAGCCTGGAAAGGTGAGAATGGGGAAACTCAACAGTTAAGATTGCCTCCTCACCAGTGGAAGATGAGATCAGAAAGGAAATGGAGGCAGAACAGGACCAATATTTTCTCTAGAGTACAGAGAAAAAGTGAACTGGAGCATCTCAGTGAAACCTGTCTCCCAAGTGTTAAGAATGGCCACCGACCTATCAGCTTTTAACTGGTGGATGAGGTCCCAGTTTTATTAATAGGCACGTATATTCCTTAAATATAAACTACCTTTCATAAACTCATTTTACAGAATTTTATATCAAAGTACACTAGGGGGCGCTCTAAAGCGATTTTTCCTAGTGCTGTTGTCTGAGATAAAATATCAAAATGGGCGAAATGGGTTAAGTAAGGAACGCCAAAATAAATTCAGCAACTAGTCCAAATGTAACATATAAATTTGCCCCCCCCCGATGCACCTGGCCAATCAGAAATGTACACTTCATGCTTGCTAATTGTCAACCAATCATGTAACTGCTAAGTAGAAAATCTCCAAACCTTGCTGTAATCTCTATAAAAACCCCGCTAATTTGAAATTCGGGGCTCTCGATCTTCGGTGACAATTGAGAGTCCCTGCTTGAGCTTGAATAAACGACCCTCGTGCGTTTGCATCGGAATCGGCTCCTTGGTGGTCTTTGGGGACTTCGCGATCTGGGCACAACAATACTGCTTTGTGTTTCCATTCCTAGGTAGCTATCCAGAAGAACTGAAGACATGCATTCAAATAAAAATGGATGTGTTCTTTATGTCTGTCATGAACTGTCCCACAGTAAGTTCCAGAAAAAGAAAACTCTTTCCAAATAGAAAAAGAATTTTTCTCCCTGGGAGGGCAGGTGGTGAAAGTGAAGTGGGCCTAAGGGTTTCATTATCCTATAAAACCTGCACTGACTTCCTGGCAGAGCATTAACCCTAACCTAATTGTAAGAGATGAACTTAACAATACACTGAATGTTAGCCCTAACCACATGCCAAGTATAATATAAACTCCAACATTAACACTTCGTTACAAACCTTACATTAATATAAAACTAATTCTAACCCTACCTTAACCCATGAAGCCTAAGCCCAAGTCTGAATTCTAAGTTCTAATCCAACACCCAACACCAATGCTAACCCTGACATTCCCCCTAACCCAAGCCTGGTTCCTGACTGTGGGGTTTCCTCTCCTCATCAGCTTCCCTGTCCATCCTGGCCCCTCTCTACATGTCCAAACTCCTCCTTACCTGCTTCACCCCACACTCCTGCTGTTCAGGTCTCAGGGAGGCTTAGGGCAAGCATGACAGGGAGGTGAGGCCTGGGGTTGGCAAGGACTGGAGTTGGTGAGGCCAGAGGGTGCTCATGCCCAACCTGCCCAGAGACTGAGCCCTGGACAAGATCGAGGTTGTGGAGGCTCCTCACCTGCTGAGGAGAGACATGAGCCAGTGCTCTGTGGTCCCTCTTCTAGGGGACTGTCTGCAGGACATAAACCACCATGGGCTACAGGTCCCTAACGTAGGTGGCCACCTAGAGCCCTTTGGACGTCCCAATAGGGCTGCCTCCCTCTGCACCCTCTACCTGCTGGCATCAGGGAAGTCAGCACCACCTTTCTTTCTGCACAGAACTCTTCTTCTTTTCTGCCAAATTCATGACTTTGGCAGAGATGTCGAGCATGTGATCCTTGGCTCCTGCCAGCTTTTCTCTTTGTGCCAAATCAGTGAGAGGGACTTGAAAACTCAAGACTGCCATTAACATGTTTTCTGCACCTTACTATTTAAGATTACTCATTTTCGGTACAAAAAAAAAAAAGATTACTCTTTCTCCAAATTTTATTTTATTTTATTTTTTTTGGTACCGGGGATCGAACTCTGGTCCTTGTGCTTGAGAGGCAGGCAGCAGAACCACTGAGCTAAATCCCCCACCCTCTTTTTCCAAATTTTAAAAACAAAGAGTGATACTTCTGTGTATAACTTAGGCTAGATCACCACATAAACATCTTGTTTCCTTTAAATTTATTTTTATAAATAAATGCTAACCATTGAATTTTTGCTTTCATCTTCATTTAAATTATTGTTAATTGTTCTGAAGGCAAAAATCATAAAAATATATGCGTCACAAACAAAAATACAAAATTTATTGACAATTGTGTGTGTGTGTGTGTGTGTGTGTGTGTGTGTTTATATGTAGTTCTGGGGAATAAACCCAAGGTCTTACACTGAGATACATCTCTACCCCATCCTCACCCCCTTTTCCTGAGACAGGGCCTCCCTAAGTTACCCAGGCTGGCCATAAACTTGTGATCCTCCTGCCTCAGCCTCCTGAGTAGCTGGATTACTGGCACCACCATACCCAGCATTAGTAGATTACTTACAGATGTAGAATATAACATTGAAACATCTCCAACTCCTAATCACATTGAAATAAAATTTCAGTGTCCATCCCATTGTTAATATTAAAAAGAAAAAACCCTAGATAAATTAAACTTAGCAGATTTTATTAGAGCAAAGAAAATAAAGGATTCCCCTACTTGGCAGAACCTCAGATCCAGAGAAAGTTCAAAGAGCCAGGGCATGTGGTGGGAAGGGCAACAACTGTGAGCTGAACTGAGGCACAAACACAGCTCCCCTGGTTACAAAATCAGTTTAATTCATGACTCTGCACTCGACAAGCCCAGTTGCTATAACTAGCTAAGCCTCAGCTATTTGTCAAAAGACTACAGTCATTTTCTGGGGTTTCAATCCCTATTCTTTGAGTTACAATGTTTGGTGAAGTTCAAGAGGGGGCTCCGTTGTGAGTGCAATAAAGTATCCTGTCTCTTAGCTGGGCTGGAATTGTGTGACTCAGTGTCAGAGCACCTACCCCAAATACTTATAGTGACCTGATCAACCTTCAAAGCCACACAGAAATAGGGAAATGAATAACCATAACTGTAACAAACAGCAGGGAAGCAGACACAGTAATAAGATAAAAACCAAGTGTAACTGCAACATCCACAATGTTAACAACAGCATTGCCAGGGACAGAAATGACACAAAATAATGTTTTAAAATTTGGTAAAAATATAACTAAGAGAGAAGAAAACAAGGAGAAGAAAGTAAAATAATATATTAAAAGAGGGAGAATGCAGAAGAAAATAAAAAGTGAAGGCTCCCCCAAAAGAAAGTGAGCAAGAGAAAATAACAGAATATAAGCATTAGAAGGAGGGGAAAAGAGAAAAAGTGCAAGAAAAAAATTAGCTAGGTGTGGCGGCACACATCCGTAATCCCAGCACTTGAGAGGCTAGGGCATGAGGAGTGCCATGAGTTCAAGGCCAGCCTGGGCTACATGGTGAGGACACACGACCAGCCCAAACTTTACAGTGAGACCCTGTCTCAAAAATAATAATAATTTAAAAGAAAACACATACACAGATATAGACATAGATAATATCAATTTATCAATCAACCAGAAAATTTTATAAAGTCCTCATTAGAAAAAAAGGATGAGACAATCTTGTGCTGTGATCGAACATGCAGACAAGAGTGCGCGTCCACTCCCTGTGCCAATGTGCACTTCTCCCTGTACCCTCCTGGGCTGTGTGCCCCTCAGAGAAGAGCAGCATGGGAATCATTTATCCCTTTCCCCTCTCATACTGCTGGTCAGGCTGCCAGCTGGAGTTGTGTGGAAATGGAGCTGCTTGAAGTAAAGCAGCTTTCCTGCTCATCAGTACAAGGCAGCATGGAATGGGAGTTGATCCTAGAAAGATTCACTCAACACACTTCCAGGCCAGGGCTGATGCAGAGCTCTGCTGCTCATCTGGGTCTGTGGTGCCCCTTGAGAAGCCAACTCAGGGGGCAGGGGATCAACTGCCCCAGAGAAGGATGTGCAGCTGGTCCCATACAATCCACTGCCCATAACTCTGGCTTTCTGAGCCAAGTTCCTACAAGCAATCACATGTGGCTGCTCATCTCCAAACCCACTTCATCTGGCTGGCTGAGCCACCGGTCTTAGAGTGAAAGTGACCTCCTCTTTGCCATATCTCTGCCTGGGTTGCCTCTGCATATATTCTTCAGTGGGGCTGCTTCAGCGGCATCACGTTTGTGCCCTAAGAACACATATAAATTCTTACTCTTTTTTCCCCCAAATGTAGTACATCATGTCCTAATTCATATTTTATAGTCCTATTATTTAGCAATATAGTCTACACTATTTTATGGTTCAAAATGTTAACATATATTTCTTTGATACCCAAATCAATGAGAAATAGTGGACCTCAGGAGGGAGAGAGTTGCAACTGCATCTGTCACAAAACTGGAAGGGCCCATTTTGGGAGATGGGAAGCTATGTTATATTTCAAAACCTGAGATAAAAATTGGTATTCAAGCAAAGAACTGTATCTCAAATGATAATGAATATGCCTTCTGTGTATGATTTTCTCTGTAAATAAACAATTCCACATCTCTACACAGTCACCCACTGGCTGTTACTCTGACTTTAACCCTTAACCTTTAAAAGACAGCAATAAATATAGTATCTCTTGTTAAGTTTATCAGAAAGTAGCTTTTCAAATTGTAAATAGCCTCACTGATGTACTTGGTAATTTTGGCCTTTTTTGGGGGGATTCTTTCCCTGGAGAGCCCATCAGAACATGTAGAATACAATTTACCTGTGATATTTATATCTGTGCTCGTATGAGATCAAAGTGGTACCTTTGTGGTGGTGAGGGCCTGGAGGTCTTCCAATTTGGGGACATAGCTTCCCACAGGCTGGGAACTGAGGGGAATCAAAGCTAGCAGGCCCGATCCAGCACCTGGTGCAGCCAATCACATGGAGGGTGAGCAGCAGGGGCAGGGTTGGCCATGTGAGAGGCATCTGGGGGCAAAGATCCTCAGTGTCCTGAGGCCTGGCCACTTCAGACAGGACCTGTGGGGCTGTCTGTGTCTCAGACAAGTCCCCTGGTGGGCCAAGCAGATGCGGGTAGCTACACTATTTGAAAGGAAGAGATAATTATAAATGATTAGGGTTTGACTACAGAAATAGTTAGATGGGTCTATAGTGCTGTGAGAAGAGCAAGACTTTGTTCTAAAAAGGTAAACAGGATGTGTAAATCCCTGGGCACAGACCACCTAGTGACAATATCCTACTGGGATGATGAGGGAGCCAGCAATACACAGGAAAAAGTGGACAGTTCACACTGAATTAGCTGTTTTCTACACATTTGTCATATGGATATAAGTTCATGGCATATATCTTTTTTTGTGTGTGATACTAAAACAACTTTATTTTGCATAACAAGTTTATTTTTTAAAGGCATATAGACAAAACAAAGTAAACATTTAAACAGATTTTTACTTCTGCCCTAAAATTGTTCCATTAAGCATCAGTCTCTAAACATTTTTAGTTCAGTAATCATCATCTTCATCAGAGTACATTTCTTTTCGTCTGTTGAATTTAACTGTTGTTTTCTTTTCTGTTTGTTGGCTTACTTTTTCAAGGATTTCTATTAGACCTTGTTCTGAGACCTTCCCACTTAGCTGTCCATACTTTGCCATCTGTATAAGGTAATTCTCTACTGCTTTCGTTTTTTCAGGCTTTACAAGTGCTAAGTTATTTAACCTGGCCCGGGCTGATTGATCCAGAACTTGCGCTAAGATACTGTTTCTCATTTCTGCTTCCCTGTGCTTTGCTTCCTGTTGTGCTGCATCATTAGGATCCCCGTTTCGATTGCAGCTCGGCCAGCCTCTGCTTCCTCAGCGCCTCCAGCTCCTCATACGCTGTGGCGCGACCTTCGTGGAGTCGCATATATCTTTTTTAATAAGTAATAATTCTTGCATGTTTTTAATCCATACACAATTGTCTGAATGTTTTGAATCCATATACAATCCATACAGAATTGTCTTTTTCTTCTTCATTAATAAGTACAGAAAGAAAACAAACACGCTCCTAGTTTAAACACACATACTTGATTTGAGTGTTTCTGTCTTGTAACTCATCAATATTAGTGTAAAGCACATGAATAAATTGTAAAGGAGGGCACAGCCTTAAGTCTGGCAACTTGAACCAGAGATGTACATTGAGCCTAAAGAGGAAAGGTCATGACCATCCCCTTGGGCCCTCCTGGGCTGCAGATCTATTTGGCATGTTGCCATCAGCTGCTCAGAACAGCTTAGAAGGAGTGGTGACAGCCACAAGCTGCAGAAGAGTGGAAAACAAGTGTCTTCCATGTGTGGAAGTGGAAAACGTGTCAACTTTATTGGCGGTTTTTTTCCTTTCAGAGGTTCTTACTGCTTACCATGGTGCTTTCCCTGGGAAGTGGTCTTGATATGCATAGAGTTCACACTAAAACATGTTCAGATGAAGAAAATCTTCATTTGAACATGTTTTAGAGCATTCGTAGAGATAACTCATTTATATAGACTTCTAAAGAAAAGGTGGATGAAATTGGCAGTTTATTTTGTTTAGACACCTACTGTAAATTTTACTAGTTTTTTTGTTGTTGTTGTAAGTACAAAATTCCTGACATACAGGACTTAAATATAAAGGGGTTATTTTAACTTATGTTTTCAGAGATTGAAGGCAGTTGTTATTTGATTCTAACAGAAATATCATAGTGGAAGGAAATGAAGAAAGAAAGATAACCGCTACATGAGAACCAAGAAACAGAGCAAAAGCGGTGTCAGAGAGGAAAAAGAGGGAAAAAGATAAAGTCCCTGATTTCACACCTCCTTGACTCCGCCAGACACACCAGCAGTGTGCTTTACTAATATCCTATGCAATTCTCAAGCCAAACAAGGTATTAATCAAGAGTGTCACATGACTCCAGGTACTATTTTCCTTCTAGCGATATTAATGTGTTGAAAAACAGAGAGTTTCATCTTTCGAGGAGGCAACTGCAGGGCACAGGGAGCTTACAGTCTGAAGTCTTTAAGGTTTCCCTGCCTCAGCACCAGAAAGTGCGTTTATTCAGCAATGATTTGCCTCTCTTTGGCATGTATTTTCTTGGCTTAGAATGAGTAAATCAAGAGATAGAGTAGGAGAAACTCTTGTCCATGAAGCCGATGAACTAATTCCTACTTTCTCACCTCTCACAACAGCAGGGCCTCCCTCTCTTCGTTGTGTCCTGGCCTTGCTGGACTCATGACACTCTCTCTCACAGTGGTTAGTGATTTAACTGTGGAACTGGCTCAGCAGACCTGGTGTCCCGATTTGGAAGAGCAACACACAGGAAGAGCCCACTGAGTCCAGCATGAGGACTGGAGTAGCCAGGGCTGGGGGTACATCACTGAAAACCCAACACTGGGGAGACCAGAACAGGAGGTTCAAGGGGAGCTCAAGACCAGCCTGAGCTACACAGTGAATTCAAGAACAGACTAAATTACATAGCAAGACCCTGTCTTCAAAGCAAAACAAAGACAGAAGCAGTTCTGCCAGGCCAGGAGTAAACTCTTCCTAAATGCAGGCTAGGACAGGTCAGCATCCTGAGAGACAAACTGGTCGAGAAGTCTCTACCTTACAATCTCCCTTTTGATTCGCAGGCACGCTGGAAAGGATTGGCTACTGCAGTCACTCTAGGCTCAGAGGGCGGGCAGTGGAGCAGGAGCCAATCAGTGTCGAGGGGCGGGCTGTATGGACTGTCCAATCAGGTGGCCCGGGGTAGGAGGGCTCTGTTTCCTGGCGCCAAAGCGCAGATTCTGAGCTCTGTGCAGGAGCCGCCGGGCTGCGCAGATCGCCGCGCTTCAGGATCTCTCCAGTCTGCAGGCTGTGCGGGAAGGACCCGGGGAGGCCCCCAGCCACGCCATGGTGACTTTGTGGGCCGGGTGCCCTGACGCGGAACTGGAGGGTTAGGGGCGAGGCCCGGGCGGAAGCGGTGCGGGTAGCAATGGCGCCGGCGCCTCCTCGCTGCCCGGATCCGCGCCCCTCCCGGTCTCCGGTGTTCTCTCTGTCCCTCCTGCCTGGCCTCAGGCAGGGCTACACTGTGTGCCCGGCACCCTGTGTCTCCAGGGCCACCCGGCCAGCCTGGAGCGCAGTCTCCACCCTTGTACGAACAGTAGAGATGGTAGGAAGACCCTTACTCCGGCGGGGAGTCATGCTGGGGAGCTGTGGTGTGCTGGGTCCCTGAACTGCTTCGTCCCTCCAGCAGACCTAGAAGACCCCAGTTTTATAAATACCTGTGATACAGGGTCTCTTTTCATAGCACATCAAGCTGTGGAGATCTTTGTTCCCTTTCCCCTACCCCTCCCACTTCCCATTCCCCTTTGGATCTTTTCTTCCTATTTCACATTATCTGTTATACATTTTGATCCTTATTTACACTTTAAATTTCTCACACCAGAGATACTATTCAGTATTTACACATGTGTGTCCTATTTTTTTCACTTGAGTATCGCCTCAGTGTGCATCTATTTAGCTATAAATGTCTCTAGTTTCTCATTCTTTATGAGAATACTATTCTGAGTAGTACTCCATTTTATAAAAAAAACAACACATTTTCTTTATTCAGGCACCAGGTGGTGGGCATTTGGGCTGTTTCCAAGTTTTAGCTTTACAATCTGTGCCATTATAAACATGGGTGCACATGTATTTCTGTGGTATGATTTTTTTTAACTCTTTTGGGAAGATACCAGCAGGGGAATAGCTGGGTCAAATGGGACCTCTAGTCCCAGTTTTTAAAGATATCTCCATATTGATTCCCACAGTGGTTGCACCGGTCTACACTCCCACCAACAGGGGAGAAGGGTTCTTTTTTCCCCACAGCCCTGCCAGCATTTGTTATTGGTTGATTTCTTGATAGCAGTTATTCTTTCTGGGGTGAGGTGGAATCTCAGCATTGTTCTCTTTGCATCTCTTAAATGACCAGAGATGTTGAACATTTTTTCATATGTTTATTTGCTGTTTCTACTTCCTGTCCAAGAAATGTCTGTTCATTTCAGATGCCCATTTTTGGATTGGGCCTTTAAATTTGGGAGGTCAGAATTTTTAAATTCCTCATATTTTTCTAGATAGTAGAGCTTTGTCTGAGGAACAGCTGGCAAAATTTTTTTCCCACATTGTGGGTTATCTCTTCATTCAGTTGGTGTTTTCTCTTGCTGTGCAGAAGCTTTTTAATAAGAAGAGATCCCAGTTGTTGATTTTTTGTGCTACTTCACATGAGACTGAGGTTTTGTTCATAGAATCTTTTCCTGCAACAATGTCTTCAAGAGTTCTACCTAACCTCTCTTCCAGCCAGTTTAGTGTTTCTGTTTTAATATTTAGATCTTTGATCCATTTTGATTTCGGTTTAGTGCATGGTGAGAGATATAGGTCTAGTTTTAATCTTTTTTGTTGTTGTTGTTGTTTTGGTATCGGGGATCGAACTCGGGACCTTGCGCTGCAAGGCAGGCACCGGAACCACTGAGCTAAATCCCTGGCCCTCTAGTTTTAATGTTTGACAAGCTGAAATCCAATTTTTCCAGCACCTTTTATTAAAGAGGCTATCTTTCCTCCAGTGAGGGTGTTTGGCTCCTTTGTTGAAGATGAGGTGGCTGACTGTGTCTGGAGTTCTTTCTGCATCTTCTAATCAGTTCCCCTGATCCTTGGGTCTGTTTTTTTGCCAGTACCATGCTACCATGCTGTTTTTATCACAGTAGCTTTGTAGTATAGTTTCAAGTTGGGGACTGTGATACCCCCTACCTTGTCATTGTTGCCTAGAATTGCTTTTGCTATTCTAGGTCTCTTCTTGTTCCAAATGAATCTTTGGAGTGCTTTCTCAAGTTTTGTGAAGTATGCTGTTGGAATTTCAACTGTGATTGCATTGAATCTATATAGCAGTTTTGGAAGTATGGCCATTTTCACTATATTGGTTCTTCCTACCCAGGAACAGGAGATCTTTCCATTTTCTCATATCTTCTTTGATATCTTTCTTCAGAGTGCTGTAGTTTTCAGAGTAGAGAGGTCTTTAATTTCTTTGTTTAGGTTGAGGGATTTGTTTCTCCAGTTCTTCTCTCAGTGAGTCTTTTGTTTGTGTACAAGAAAGGTATTGATTTTTGTTTGTTGACCTTGTATCCAGCTACTGTGCTGAATTGGGTTATTAAGTGTAGAAGACTTTTGGTTTAGTGCTTGGGGTCTTCTATATAGAGCATCATGTCATCTGCAAATAATGACAGTTTAACTTCTTTGTTTTCTATCTTTATTCCTTTTATTTCTTTCTTTTGTCTAATTGCTGTGACCTACGTTTGCAGAGCTATATTGAACAGGAGTGGTGATAGTAGACATCTTTGTCTGTTCCTGATTTTAGTGTGAAGGATTTCAGTTTTTGACCATTTAGTGTGATATTGGCTGTTGGTTTTGCATAGATGGCTATTATCATGTTGAGATAAAAACTGTCTATTCCAATTTTCTGTAGGATTTTTTATGATGAATGGGTGTTGGATTTTGTGAAACACTTCTTCTGCATCTTTTGAGATGATCATATGGTTTTTGTCCTTGGGTCTATTAATATAGTGTATTATATTTATTGATTTGCATATTTGAACCATCCCTGCATCCCTGGAATGAATCCCACTTGGTCAGGGTATATGATCTTTTTGGTGATCTTCTGCATTCTATTTGCCAGTATCTTATTGAAGATTTTTGCATCTATGTTCATTAGTGAGATTGGCCTGTAGTTCTCTTTTTCAGTTGGGTCTTTCTCTGCTTTTGGGATCAAGGTGATGCTTGCTTCCAGGAATGAAT